TTTAATTAAATGATAAATCAACCTTAATTTACGTCATAATCTGTAACTCTAAAACAGACTTTGTCAAATTAATTAACTACAATACTAGCACAAATTAAACATTTTTTATATAAAAAATCATTATATTAAAAAAATTCCTTAATATTGTTTAATATTATATTATTATAGTTTCTATTTTTAAAAATTTACTTTAAAATGTATAATACTTTTGATAGCATTGAATGCAATGTTAATCCCGATCCCCATATACATGTTAAGACAAATAAAATAATTGACAAATTAACTCAAGTCTTACAATGGATATGTGCAAAATGTGCCGTGATAAAATATGCCCTAAAATCATCAACATATGTTTTAAATCAAATATGTATTATAAAACTAGTATTAAATACCGGTGCCTTATGTTTCGGAACGGCATTCTTAATGGGCGGACCATTTTTCCCATCAGAGGTAAGGGGTCATTCAATAAGTATGTAAAAATTAATATGCTTACTAAATTAGGCCAAACATAGAGGTATTGGTGAAAATTGGATTGGCATCATAAATGGCATTTTGGATGCCGGGTTTACTTTAGGCTCAATTGTGTCTGGTAAATTGGTACCAAGTTCAAATATTTTAGTTTTTATTTACATATTTAAATATTTATTAAAACTAATAAGTTTTACCCACCCAGGCACATAAATATAAATCTAAACACGTGCTGGTTGCATCTATATTATTTGGCGGTGTAAACCTGTTACTGTTTGGGTAGGATATTTTTAAATTAGCAACCAACATTATTATTATTATAGTTTAAATGTCACTATAATACTATAAAACTTTAACAAAAATGTATTATAATTTATAAAGCATATAAAAGTATTTTAAATTAGCTTACTACAATGGTACACAAATGTGACAATATTTATTGTAATGGGCATGTTACACCGAATTGGTATTGGGTTTGGTATGGGTGCNAACTTTAACAAAAATGTATTATAATTTATAAAGCATATAAAAGTATTTTAAATTAGCTTACTACAATGGTACACAAATGTGACAATATTTATTGTAATGGGCATGTTACACCGAATTGGTATTGGGTTTGGTATGGGTGCGTTTTTCACATCATGTTTTAGCCTGGTCTTTTTACAATTCTCTGACGACATATCAAATTCATACGTAATTAATAAAATCCTAAAATATATTTCAATATTCAAAAATAGTCACTTAAATTATCTAGGCAAATATTGAAATGTGCTACGCTATGGGATTACTACTTGGACCCGCTGTTGGTGGCTTATTATACGAGGTATTTTAAACTAGTTTTACATTGTAGTTTAAACTTAACATTAATCATTTTGATAAATAAAATTAGCTAGGTTCATACGTTGGAATCGGACTTTGTCTACCGTTTCTTATATTAGGCTCAATGCAAATAGTGGTCGCAATTATAGCTTACTTTTGTGTCTCAAACGATAGTATAAAAAATACATTTAATATTTATATGATTTTTAAAATTTAATTTACTTTTCAGAGCAAAAGGATTGTGAGAGCAATGAAAAGACTACATTTTGGCAGCTATTAAGCAAACCTCGCATCGCGTTAAATGTGCTTGTTTATTTTAATGCCGGCAATATTTTGGGGTTTAATTCATCCACGTTAGATTTACATTTGATTACTGTGAGCAAACTAAATATAAAGTACATTAAATTTTGGTTGTAAACCTAGTAAATATTTATTTGTATCTAGATAACAAGTATATCATCATCAATGAAAGGACTCGTATTTCTAGTATCCGGGATATCCTACGCGTTATGCAACAAATTGTGGGCAATTCTGGCTGAAAGGCTGTCCACTTGTTATGCAATTAGTCTAATGGGATGTACATCGGGTCTCGTATGTTTTGTACTCATAGGACCCCTACCTTTCCTACCCATACAGCCGTAAAGTTATAGCTATTTATGTAAAACAATTATTTTTAAAAATTGAACATATTTTCAGATCACTATTATTGGTGGTCATAGCCCAGACATTTTTAGGTATAGGTGCCAGTGCTATTTTGGTGGGCAGTTTTATACAGGGATATAATGAGACCATGTACGCTTATTCATATTTGTAAAATTTTTAGTAACTAGTTAAATTATAATAAGTTTATATTTTTATTATAATGCTAGTAAGTATGGTATCCCTGAGAGTAACTCCATGACAACAATATTGTCGGCAATGTTCACGATATCGGAATCAATAGGGTATTTATCAAGGAAATAATACAATCAAGATAATTGCGATATTTATGAACAGGTATGGATTTGGACCGGTAGTTGGCGGCTATTTTATGCAACAACTGGACTATAGATGGGCTACAGTTCCCATGTTCATATTTCAACTACTATTGGTACACATCTATACCTAAATTATTAAGGATGTTTATGTTAAATGTTTTTATTCAAGGTGAACACTATTTTCATATTTGGAATTTTAAAGAATCGTCAATATTAGATAATATTATAATATTCATTACCTTGATGAAAGAGTTGTAAAATAAAAATGTCATTGATCACATTGTATTGAAAAATATATAAATTAATAATTTTTCAAAAATTTTATAGTAATGTAGAAATAAATCCACTGTATTGAAAGTCTAAATAACATTATTGTGTAACAATTTATTCAATATATACTTGTTGATAATTAATACAATCCACTTGAGATAACATATTGATAAACCAATAAATTATTTCTAAATACACCAGAAATACGAGATAATTTTACTATTTAATAGATAGACCCATTGCACTAATCAAATTAAAACCATATAAATAGCTTGAAATATTTTCCAAAAATATTAATATTAATTAAACATAATAAAACAAATTTTTAAACAAAATGAATTGCATCAGAATAGCAAGCTACTTGCTGTTACTAGCGAACGTGGCATTTGCATTTTATTATCTACCCGATGATCCAGGTAACTCAGCCATAAACATCACGGAAAATTGGTTCGTTCAGAAAGTTGACCATTTTAATTCCAGTGACCATCGTACTTTCAAACAGGTAAGCTTAAATAAAATTAAAAGTATTTGGTATAGCTCAATTGACCAAAAACATTTTCTAGCTATACTACATGAACAACACTTTCTACAAACCGGGTGGACCGGTATTTTTCATAAACAATGGTGAGGCACCTGCCAGTCCTAATTACGTCCTAAGAGGTCAAATCGCCGAGAGATACGCCAAAACATACAACGCGTTACTCGTGGTCATAGAGCATAGATTTTACGGGCGCTCCCAACCTACCGGTGACCTATCCATGGCTAGCCTTAAATACCTGTCCAGTCGACAAAGTCTGGAAGATATGGCCGATTTTGTTGTGTTTTTGAATAAGACGTTGTCGCTGGGGAAAAGCAAGTGGGTCATTTTTGGAGGCTCGTATCCAGGTGCGCTGGCAATGTGGTTTAGGTCAAAGTATCCCAATTTAGTAGCCGGTGCTGTAGTGTCTAGTGCGCCCGGGGAACCGTCGTTTTATTATACTAATTATTTTGAGACCGTTGCCGAGATATTGGGACAGGGATGCTCAAATGCGATTAGGTATGAGCAATAAATTTAGATTTTTGTTAAAGTAATTATAATAGTATAAAGTTCATTTTTAATTGTTATTGATAATAGTTTATAAAATATTATTATTAATTAATACAATTATTGCTTGTTTATTTTATATAACTTGTAATTTATTTGATATTTTTAATTTTATAATTAATGTGCTGCTTATCTACATTATTGTATAGTTATTTAATTATAAAAACATTTTTAAATATAATTTTGAACCAAATTTTACTCACTTACTTGTTATTTTATAGTATAGCGACAATACAATTAGAGTCAGAGATACGAAAGGGACCGAAAGGTTGGGAAGGTATTACTAAATCGCTTAATTTATGCGATCCATTTGATGGGGACAACACCATGGACATTTATTATTTATACAGTTACCTCGCTTCCAGTACATACACCACTATTGTATTTAACGATGTGCCCGCATTAGGTTACCCAACAATTAAGCAACTATGCTCCAATATGACTACTGACCAGGGTAATCTAACTGAACTAGAGCGTTACTCAAAAATCCAAAAAATTATTGCTAATGGTCAATGTTTGCCTACGAGTTATGCCAAACATCTTAAAATAATGAAAAATATTAATCCGTACGAAAATAATAATGGCAAATTTCCTATTCCACGTATGTATACAATTATCTTGTTAAAAATTTCTAGATATATTTAATTTTATATTTAGCTATTATTTATAATATTCTTAAAGCAATATTTATCATTGTGATAAATATTGTTAGTTATCCATTGACTATTCAGTGATCATAAGATTATTGATCAGGATAAATATCAATATTCAAGCTTTTAATTTTTTTATAAATGAGCACGATTAATAAAAATCAATATTATAAACAATATAATAGTGCGACAATGGATATATCAAAACTGCAACGAATTTGGCTGGATGATCACCACTAATAGCCCACGTCAACCATTTGGTCATGATATCCCGGCTGACTTTCTAGTCCGAAGTTGTGCCGACTATTACGGACCCGAATTCACCGAACAGTATATTCGGCATAACGTCGAGAAAACGCGTGAATATTACGGGACTATCGACACGATTAACATAACAAACGCCGTATTCATTAACCACTCACTGGACCCGACCCATGCCTTATGCGTGGACAGGGAGCTTAATAATAGCACCAGGGTGTTGTATGTGCATGGTACCGGGCATGGCAGGGATTTTTACTCTACTGCTCCAAATGATCCAGCTGAGCTGATTGAGGCGATTAATGAAGTGGAAAGACAGCTAAAATTGTTTATTATGTAGTTTAGTGTAACATGATAAATACAAATAAAATTAAACCAGAATGTTTATTTTTAACAAGGATATCTGACTGATTATAATTCATTAAAATTTACGCAATTTATATAAAAAAACTGAATTTTTATACAATTTTAAATTTACTTATCAGCAAGCAAATTTTCAAGCAACCCTGGTAAATTCGCTGAACTATTATCCGATTGAATTCTATGCGATATTTTTCTCAGCCTTTCCTCCAGTTCCTTATCGTTTAATAGACTATCAATAGCTGTCAATAACTCAGACTCCGAGCACTGGTAGGCATCGAGTCTTTTCCCAAACCTCTTGCACTCAACTCTCTCGGCGTTATCGTATTGATCGCCAAATAGGGGTAAGACTATCATTGGTTTCCCGAAATACATGGTCTCAACAATAGTGTTGTTCCCTCCATGGGTTATCACCAAATCAACTACTGGTAGGACTTGCAGTTGGGGAACGGTAGCCGCGCCCCACATATTCACTGGTAGGTCGTACTCCTCATGAAGAGGTCCTTTCGATACAATGAATCTGTGCTTAGATTTCGATAAAATAGTCACTAATCTCTTCATATTCTTCACGTCAACCGCGCCCATAGATCCCAAGGAAAGGTATACCAGTTTTCCGGGTTTATCCCTCAGTGGCACAGGTATCTCAAACGGGATGTTATTTTTAATGTGCATAAAGTTGTCAAATTGATAGGTGTTTGGAGGTAGAGGTCTGACGTCCGTATAGTCCAGTTCCTTAGGAAAGGGATAAATGTTGAGATACGGCGAGGGATTGAAGTACAGGTATTTTGGTAGGGGTTTCGCTCCATAGGACACAACGTATTCATTAAACTCTTTCCATATTTCATGCGTCGAGTCATTCACTGTTTGGCGAAACCTTATCCATAAGGCTTTGTCACTAGTTATCGGAAAACCTATTGAAATATATTTATAAAATTTGTTTTTAAAAATTTGTTTTTAAGACATAAAACATTGCAGTATTTATATTTTGAAGCACTGTATAATTTTTCAAAAATCATCTGCATGCATTTTATTTTTAAATAAATTATTTAAAATGACCTAGAATTTAAATTTTTAATAATATTATATACAGTACTTACTGTTAGCTAATTTATATTTTGAATTTAAGTTATAAATACAGTGTATAAAATTTATAATAACACATTCATTGAAACATACCTGACCCTTTTGGTGGAGTAAGTTCTTCACAATTACTTTCAATTAAAAACAACGGATTACAGCTACAGGTCAACACCCAGGGTATACCCGACACCTCCACCGCCGGTATGCATAACACGTGGTCCACGACTATAACGTCTGGTTTTAAGGTATCTATGGTTTGCTTAATAAATGGATCCAACCTTTTAATACGGCTCGCAAATGCCATGGTCCTTTTCGTATTTAATGCCAGCATTTTGTCCAATGAGGATCCTGGTCCTAATAACCCTTCAGCCATTAACTTGTTTGACATGTCTTTTACAACGTTTGTATTGCTTTTTATTTCTGGCTTATCGTGTTTAGGGTAGTTTATTGTTTGGAAACCAGCTTGATGCAATTGTGTGTTCCAAACAGCAGGCATAAAAAATGTAGGTTTATGACCCACGTTCATTAGTGTTGTAGCTATGCCAATTGCCGTATTTACATGACCCACGGCATCCAGCGGTATGAATAGGATGTTCATGCTAATTTTGTTTGCAATTTATTATAATATCTCTTTAGTAAAATTAAATTATTTTATATAATATATATTATATAAAACATGTATATTATACTGTATTACTTACCTACAACGTGTAATGTTATATTTTGATTGTTAAAAAGTAAACAAACTTTGATAACAAAAAATATTTTGTATGAATTATTTTTTATCAAATAACAAGTTAATAATAAGTTTTATATTTAATATGAACTTAAATTATTAATAAAGTAAGCAACTTGTAAAACTTTTATATAAATAAACTATTTAATAAAAGTCTATTTCATTTATATACACTCTGGTAGAAACATTATATACAAATCATGTTAAATGTTATAAAAATATTTTTATTATTTAGCCCGTTTATATATGAAATTATTATTTATAATGTCGCACATTTATTATTATTCAGTATTCTATTAAATGGTACCAAAATAACAAAACAATTTTATTTCTTATAACTATTACTACTGTACAGTAGTAGCCTAGTAGTAATAATGTAGTATAATAATTACAACTGTATGAGCATCACTGATTCATCAGTATTTTGTGTGACATAACTATATATGGTAAAATTGTATTTAATAAATAAATTCATTACGGTGCATAGTGCACTGTACATAATTTATTTTGTTGATTACATTTTAACATGTTAACATACTGTACCTTACTGATACGATTATTAATGTGCAACTGGACCACACTAGTTGTTAAAAAACATTTTAATATTTTATAGTATGCGATATATAAGATACAAACATTTTAATGAGTTCAACAACTTTATCAAGTTTACATTGAAGTTATTTATAAACATTATTTTATAATTAATAGTATAGTTTAAATCCTGTTTATAATATTAAATTCTATATTTTCCGTTACTCTATCAGTTAGCTATTGTAAGAATTATTAATGTTTTATGATAATTAAATTATTGATGATACATAAATCACAAACTAGATTAATTAATTTAAATGTATACTTAATTGTGTACACATTAAATGTATATATTTTTAAAATGTAAATTATTAATATAAATGTTATTATGCTAATAGTTACGTTTGTAAAAATTCTATAATAGTATTGATTTTTACTATTTATATATTAAAGCATTAGTAGAGAACATTTAGTAAATATATAAGAAAATCTAGTAATATGTCTAGTACAATCTAGTACAATCTAATAATCAGTAAAACCAATTAAATAAATCTAAGTTGTGTTTGAATCCATTGTTTAAATTATGGTGTTATCCAGTGTGAATTTATGTCTCTAATAATATTATTTTAAATGTCACTATATTTACAGAATATCTGAATAATAATGTAATACTTATACTATATTTATCAATAAAATTTAATTAAATTTATATTGACTTAATTTGTCATTTAAGCGTTTATGCAAATGTCAAAATTAATTGTTTTTATTAAATATCATAGAATTAATTTGGAAAACATTGAATTGCATGTAATTTACTGCACTATAATCTAGATCAATACGAGTTTAATGAAAATACAAAAACAAACTAAGGCATTTTAATATTGATGCCTTCTGTTAATGAAAATTAGATTCAAATATTAAAGAAATATTTTGCTACTTTAGACTAAATATTTATTTTAATATTTAAAACTATTTAAAACATGTATTGAGTGAACCTTTGAAAACATACTTTTCGATTCGTGTTTCGCATGCATTTCAGGTGAAATGGATTAACGGGTTAATCACATAAGCCTATCAAATAGTTCATATCATTTCAATATCAAATAAATCATAAATTTTCAAACAATTGACCCACCTCATGCGTAAAATATAACATACATTTTCATGCGCTTTTGGCACGACTCCATCCCCCTATGCTTGCGTACGTATTTTGCGAACGCCGCCTAATTTATTAATTAAATATTTCGAAACAATAGAAATACAATAGATTGTTTATTTTTATATACTGTATATTCGAAAACTTAATTAAGAAACTAATTAAGAATTAGAAATAAATATAATTGGCCTCATTACATTAATTATAAGTCATTTCTCATAGTCAATTTATAAATATTAATTAAATATTTAAATATTTAAATATATTAGCAATACAATATATTGAGTATTATAAGTATAGTATTTGGAAATAAAAACTATCATACAAATTAAGAATAAAAAATGAATATATTTCATCTCATTAAAATTTTAATTAAATTTCTATT